TTTTAATGTAAAATGAAATTAAAGTCCAGAAAACCTTTTTTTTTTTTTTTTTTTTTTTAAATCTGCTACTCCAGTTCCAAAACTCTTTTCTTTAATGGCTGTATGCATTACTACTTCACTATCTGAAGCCTCATCTTTTGAAATTTTCTGGGAACTCTTCTGGTGTTAATGTGGAGTTGGATCAATTTTTGGAAGTTGTGTGGAGACTTGTGATACCACGGGACTGAATGCAGTGACCCAGGAGGCTAAGGACTCACTCCCATTTTAATGAAAAGAAGGATTAACAGCAGCAACTGAGAGAGGAAGTTTCCCCTCCTGACAACTTAGTGGGGATATATAAAAATGAACTGACATTTACAGTGAGCTGATCAGAACCGAATAAATTGGAAGAGAGCAAAGGGAAGCCACAACAAGTGGTAAATTGCTGGGGGGGTGGGAGGAGGTTATTCCTAGCAATAACAGATTCTGACATTTCAAGAATTGGGGGAATTTCTGTACAGTACTTAAAAATATACCACTGAATAGCAGAACATGACCTGAAAAGCAATTTCTGATTCCTCCTGTCAACTGCAACATAAAGCGAAGGACAAGGGCTTTTGTGGCAACTGCAGGATCCAGGTTAGTTTAGCATGTTACCTGTGCAAAGCAGCTTTCATGAGCAAGTGTGTACCTCTTTCCTGATTCAGATTTGATATGTTATCCTGTCAGAGACTTGCTGTAATCACAAGAAAACTTATCTTTCTTAGAACTGAACACTTCTCTTCCTTCTCTCTAAATGTTATACCTACTCCAGACCTTGGCTATTGATGCAGTCTGCTGAGAAATTTTTTCAAAGCTGTCCTTACCTAATTTTCAGATATTAACTTGTCCCTCCAGTTTGTCAATCTGAAGTGTCAGATCTAATTTTTATTGTAGGATTTCAGTAGCCGCCTGAGACATTAATTTCGTTGCAGAAAAGATGGATGCTTTTTAATGTGGAAAAAAGGATGGGTAAACTTCCACAAATGATGTCACTGACCTTAAATGTCAAAAATATAATATTGAATACATCCCAAAAGATAATTTTTCCTGTTTGGATAGAAAATGAGTTGATGCTGGCAGTTATAGTTTTATTTAGTTTATATTTTTAATACCACTTTAAATATTGTTTTGCATTACTGACTTAGCTATTTCACAAAGTATAAACCTTGAACAAACTTTAACTGACTTTGCTCGGGAGATAGAGCAGATGGAAGCCAATTCTGTCCTGTTGTGTCATATGACAGAAGCTGCAAAGCAGCTTTAAACTGCTGATATTCATGCAATAATACCAAAGTCCTGTTCCAGGAAAATCAGCATTGTTGATTAGGACATGCACAAGGAAATATGCATCTGGCAGGATAACTCCGAGGGCATGAAGGTAAACCAGTATGAAATGAGATCCTAAATTTGCACACCAAAAATCTGCTGTGTTTAGCCACTGGACAACTCTGCATCGTGGACTCTTAAAAACAGGTTCTTTTTGTGAAACACACAATTGCAGGATAAAACATTCCTTGAAATTCTGTTTTCAGACTGCTCTCCTTTTTACCTAGCAGTGGGAAGTCAATCCAACAATTAAATAGTGAGTCCTCTCTCTTTTTTGGGAGATGGCTACAGAAACTGCAGAGCAGGAGATACGAATGGTACCCTTTTCCTGTGAGAAACTGTGCTTCCCAGGCCCCTTCTCTAAGCTCTGGACTTGGTGAGAGTCAAGTAGGGGCTTAACTTTATACTGTCACTCCCCTGCTTTTCCCCACTGAAAACTAGTGATTGCCCTGCACAACCCCAAGACTGTACTGCTCGGTGGCAGCATCTTAGAGCCTCCTAGTTCCTGCTGCATTTGAGATGCAGTGAGAAGTAGGAGCTTCGCACGTCGTCGAGAGCTCCGGTTACCTTGTGGAAGAAAGCTGCTCTCCCAGCTGGAGAGCGCAGGGAGAGCTAGTAGCATCTGACAGGTGAATTGGTAGGATACTGCCAATCCACTGCTCCAAACCTCCTTTCAGGACATACTACTGCTGAATTCAGAACCTTTGCTCCACTTCAGTTGCTACTCAGTTGTTGAGAGATGTTACTCTCTTTTTCAGTAGAAACCACGGTTTGTCCTAAGAAAGGTAACATTTATAAGTTTTGTTCTGCCTTCGTGAATGTCTGACGCAAATATTCAAAATATAGAAAGATAAGGTTCTTCACTTGGGACCAAATCTTTTGTGACTGTGGATGATTGCATAGCTTTCTTCTGGAATGAGAATCCAGATTTTGCTCTTTGTTCTATCAGTTAAAATTTAGGGTGACTCTGTAGATTTTAGAATTGCCCCACGCTGCAGTAACAAAAATGAGATCAGAATTTATTGCCAAATTTAACAAAGGAAAAAAATATCATTTGAATGTCTCTAGTTAAAGACTACTCTGAACCAAAGAATTCCTTGTGCCTTCCCCTCCAAATCTTTCAGTAGTAATATCACAAATTGTTAATGTGGGGACACTGAGCAGTTTGGAGTAATCCAAGTGTTTAATTGCATTTGTAACATTTTTCAAGGAAAACATCAAGTGCAAAGCAGGTGTTCCTTCATGGAATGATTATGGGCTTTTACATCCTTAAGAAAATATTTTACCTGTAAGACAAAGTAAGTCTTTCTGTCCACTCGGTGTCTATCTCTTTTGAATTTCTCAAAAAGAGAAAAATGACTGAGTAGATAAGATGAAGCTCAAGCAATTTTATTTACTTATTTATTTATTTATTTATTTAGCACTGTCTTCCTCTCTTTCCCCATGCTTGTTCTTGAGCCCTCTGTGAAAAGTGGGACCTCCCTGCTCCCTAGTTTACTACTTTGCTATCAGCAGGTTGCCATCTGCTGGATGCCCTCAACAACGTCCTCGCTCCGTTGTACTTAGAGGCTTTACTTCTATCTACATAGTGTATTAGGAGGTGATCTGGAGAGAGGAACAATTGGTGTGACCACCTGATATTTGCTGTGTGTGTGTTTTGGGGTTTTTACTTTGGGACCAGCCACCCAGGTGGCTGGGATGCATCGTTTGGATAATTTGATACAAAAGGAATCAAATTTGTGTATTTGCAGACTGCTTGGTAATATGAACGACAATACAAGACTGGGGGATAACTGGAAGATTTGTATCAGATGTGTACTCCTGGTTCAAACTGAGATGCTGATGTATAAGTACCCTTTAATTGTTTTCACCTCTTCTAGGTTTCGAAAACTTGAAGGCCAGTTTAGTTCTCCTGAAGCTTGCCTGGTGACCATAGTTCAGTGGATTTAACTAGCACTGGCAGGCAGGTCTGTGCTGCCAGTGCTTTCCTGACCTCTCTCTTGAAAACTGCTCTGACCTCTAAGGGTAGCCAGCTGATTGACCGTGAAGGCTCTGTTAATACTGCCTGTGAGGCACAATGTGAACAATGCTGCTTGTGAAAGATGTGTGCTTTCTTGTGTCACTCTCCTTGCAGAAGCTGGATTTCTGGCACGTGACAAAAATGGCCCTCTCTCTCCTTCAAAAAACTTCCTAGTAGTACTTTTGCATATGCAAGATCCTTCCCGTCCGGTAACTTCATTGAGTATGAGGAAGGTGGATGAATGTTTCGTGTTATGGATGGAGAAGGCAGAATGCCACTTTCCTGACAACATGCAAAGCAGCCAAGTTCTAGACCGGGCAAGGATTTTGGTGTCTTCCATATGGAAAATGTCCATATATAACAATTTTCAGTGTTTAAAAAGAATCCTGAGGGAAGTGTGCGTAACTCCTGATCCCACCTACCTCGCCTACTAGAACCAGGCCTTCCACCCCACTTTTTCATATATGTGCTCAAACTCTTGAGAATGAACAGAGTACACCTAAGCTGTTGTTGAGAATGAACACAGAATGTGTGGTTTCTTTTTCCCCTGCCCAGGACAGCTCATTAATTGAAAGAGAGGAGTCAAGAGCCCAGCTGGAAGGAACTTGGAATGGGGAGGAGGCACAGACTCAGAGGACCAACGTGAAGCAAAGCAAGCTGTTTCTTGAAATAGGAGAGTTAAAATCCCAGCTCAAAAGGACAAAGAAAGGAGAAAAGGAAAAACTCTTCATTCTGGAAAATGAGAAGGTGCTTATCAGAGGAAGTGAGGTTGTGCTGATGTATGCATGCCAGCGTACCACAGTTTTCTTTTCAGTTCTTATGCTTACCCTGAAGTGTGCTGACTGTGGATCCATAAATGAAAGGTGGCTGTTGCTTGCTTCCTATATTGTGAAAGATGAAAAAAGGGGCTGAGGCAGGTTTCGCACCATTGAAATTGGGGGGTAAGGGTTTTCATTAATGTCAGTGGTATTGGGTAAGGCCCAAATAGAGAGAGAGACAGCTTCCTATGTTTGTACACTGAAAAATAATGGGAACTTTCAGAGTTCCTGTTAGGAAAGCAGCAAACAATCATGGTGTTAAATTTGTATTTGTTAAAGAGTGAAGAGAAACACTATGTTGTTATTGGTAGCGAAGACGTGTGCTTTCTGGCAAAACACTGGAGGAAGCAGTTAAGACATCCTAACACTTCCATGTTCTCCAGGGCTGTGAGTCTGCAGGTTACAACATCACTCCCTGATTAACGGGAGCGGATAAATTTTTCCTCTCGCAAGTCAGATCCCGAGAACTCACTTCTTGGAATTCTCGTGAAGTCAAAGGCAGGGTTTCTCACTAGGAATAAAAGAGCACTCGGAAATGAGCTGCTGAGTGCTCTTCTGCCACATATGCCTCTTTCAACAAGCTGCAATCAGGGCCTGATGAGCAGTTGCTTGCTGAACCTGCCCCATTGCAAAGTGGAAGGCTTTTCAAAAGAGTTATTATATGTTCCAGCCAAATGACCATCGCTTTCAGCATCTACAGAGTTCTCCGGTGCTATAGGTATCTCCAGAATTGTGCTCTAGGAAGGCTTATCCCCTTTGACAGCTATGTTAACCTGTAATAAGTCCCTTGAAATCTGTGGAGCTGTTGCAGACGTACAGTGACAACAAGGTACAAGCTGCTCTAATATGTTTGTATGGGGGTTTCCCAGCTGCACATGGAGTGAGATGTGGCCTAAAATGAGCCATTGTTATAACAATGAAGAAAAAATACTAGGGTGAAAACCATGTTATTGTTATTTCTTTCCTTTGGATATGTTATTTCTTTCCTTTGGAAAGAAAAAAGGGAGACCTATTTTTAATTTTTTTTCCTTAATCTTTCTATTTCATTCTACCAATGTTTATAGCTTTGAATACATCTTGTTATAATTGTTCTTTGTGTGACTGGGAAATAAGTGGGTGTTCTGGAGCAGAATGTCTAGGATACACAGTCCAAAGAGCTTGTGGTACAGGACATTCTTTTAAAAAAAAAAAAAAAAGAGAGAGCGAGAAGGGGAAAAAAAAAAAAAGCTGTGTCATAGTTCCCAAATGGAAAACTACTGTGTGCTTTGGAATGTAGCCTGCGTAGCTTTTCTGATAGGATGCTTTTTGAAAAGGAAAAGAGATACCAGAAATAATGGTCTTGATTTCAATTGCTGAAAGACGTGAAAGAAAAATCTGCCTTTGGCCATGTTTTTTGCTTTATTGATGGTGAGTGGTTGGCAGTGCTTCTGTTTCAGTCAGTTTTCCTGCTCTCCTGTACAGTCAGTGGACCCAAACGAACTCGTATGACTGCACAAAGTCCTACAGTCTTCAAGGAGGCTGTCTTTTGCACACACTTTGAGCTGCTACTGCTGCTGAAAGCAGCACCTCTCCCCCACTGTTCTCGTTTCTCCCTTGCGCTTGCACAAGCATTTTGCATGGCTAGTGAGGGACCAGATGAGGGAGCTAACTGGAGTGAAAATTTCCAGAAATTTGAGAGAGAGTTAAACAGAACTGAGGAGGAGGGAAAAATCAGAAATCTGTCTCTTTCCCCTCCTGCACTTTGGTGGGTTTTTTTGTTTGTTTGTTTTGCTTTTTTTGTCCCTCTTGTCTAAATTTCAAAGAGTTTTAACCAGTGCTAGAGGGGAGGCTGCACTGCTTTCTCACACTCCAAAAAAACCATTTCCTCCATGGATTTGAAATGCCCTGGCAGGACAATGTGGGGAGGCATAGAGTCCTACTGCCACAGTTGCAGAGATATGAGCGCTGTCCATTCTGCAGACAGCACGAGGTTGTTTTTGTGTGCGTAGTTATGGGAGCAACAAATCCCATCTTGGCCCGCACCACCAAGCTGGTGAATATATGAGGTCTATAACGAACACAAAAGGTGAGATTTTTCAAAATGACTGTAAAAAATCTGTGCTAGATTTGTATCGGAAGTCTGTGAGAATTAAATCTCTTGGTGTATTTGAAAAGTGATTTGTATACAGTTAACCAAAAAAAAAAAAAAAAAAGGAACAAAAGGAACGCTTGGGATGTGCTTTGTATATTATGGCTGAGACGAATTAACAGCTTGTTGTGCTGGTCATCCCCCACAACTCTTACTACCAGCCAGCTGAACTTTCCACCCCTTGTGCCTGCTCTGATGCCCATCCCGCTCGCCAGAATGATGGTAAAAGGCTTTTATTGTTGTAAGGAGCATTTTGATGAGATTATTTCTAATATTTTAGCAAGTTGAATAGATTTACTGCGTGCTTAAAGGGTTTTTGCAATCTGGACTTTACAAACCTTTGAGCTAGGAGAGGCTCTCTCCTGGGACCGCTCCCTTTTGCCTTTGAGCCAGTTCATGGTAAGTGGCCAGGAGAGAGGAGAGGACTGCTCCCTTTTGCCTGAAGCAAACTCTTAATTCTTCTCAAAGTGTTCTGTGAAACTACAAGTTTGTTTAAGAAAAAAAATGTTCAGAAGAACTTTATCAAGTATGTCATGCTGCCTCAACCCTTTGCTCTCATGCCATGTGAATGGTATCCACCAGACATGTAAATACACACAGATAAGAAGTAAGTTATCATAAAGTTGTGATTGTTTTTGATTATTTTACAGGATGCCTGCCTGAAGGAAATAGCAGAGCTGAAGGCCTGTGTTAAACGGGTAATGTATGAAAGGGAATCTCATGGTTATTGAAATAGGTTGGAATACAACTCACAGCAGAAAACGGAAAGGAAGTTCTTTTTTTTTTTTTTTCCTGTGAATCCTATGAAGAGTCACATTCAATGTCTGTATGATACTATTTAGATAATATGTTTTACTGAGGTGTTGAGAAAAGTATTAGTAAAAATAATATTCTTTTCACATCATGGGAACTACTTGGTTCCTGCAAGTTGACTTATAAATTGAGACAACAAATTCTGCTGTGCAGTCTCTTTGGATCACTTTGAGCTCCCTTTTGAAAAACCATTAGGAATCTCATCTTCAGGTTAATTACCAAGAAAACAGACTGCAGACAAACTACTTATGCTAATGCTTTGCCCTTTCAGAGGATTTTCTACCCGAAGAATTTGAAGGTTTTTGCAGGCCTTACAGGAGTTTTCTGTCTGAAGACAGAGGCCTCATGTGAGAATGGTGTGGAAAGTGCTCTGGGAAGCAGTGTGCTTAAAGGCCCTCAATGTACTTGGACATTCCCCCCCTAGATTTCCTGTCCCTGCAACTGCCAAGGATAGCAGGGAATGGAAATTCCTTTGGGATGTGACAACCTGTCCTGAAAAGAGGAGTTATGCAAGGATTCATTTCTCATCGACACATTCTCTGGAGTGTCTATGTTCATTCAGTGTTTAAACTGAGCGAGTTTCACAGGTACATGAGACTGAGGCTGGTTGTGTGGAGTCCGGCCCACATTTTGGAGTCTTTCTATCTCTGCATTAGGGTGAGGAGGGTCAGACAGTAGCCATTGTATTTTATAGCCTGTGGGGTATCTGAAAGAGAACAAGCTATTGAATAAAATTAGGTAACTTTTAGTTACTCTATGCTAAACTGAATGTTACCCGATATATTTACTGCCTCATCAATGCTGAGCGTTGTCATTGACTATGGGTATTTTCGAGCTAATCCTATTTGGAAATAACGATGTCCACAGCCAATGCAAAGTGGCATAATTGTGCAATATTCCAGTGCTTTGTAAGTAACTTCAGAAACCTAACAAGCTTGGTGGATGGTGTTTTCTTTAATGCGTTAATGTATTAGCACCTCTGGTTTGATAGATAAGAGCAGAGAACAGTTCACTTCTGGAGAAGACAGAAGAACTGCAGAAAGCCCTTGAGAAAGGGTCTTCTGCACGCAGCTTGGCCTCAGCTGTTCAGGGGAATGCAGAGATGTTAACAACTTTGCAGCACAGCCCACTGGATGTTGGGGCAGGTACGTAAATTGTAGAGGCACCGTTGCCTCTGTTCAGGAAGATGGACAAAGGCTGAGATGGTTTGCTCTTCCACAGACTTAAAAATTGATACCATGTGATTGATGATTCTTGGCTTCCGAAAGGAGCATCACAACTTGGCTGTCTGTGTGCTGAAGTGTTTTATTGTTTCACGCATGCATTTTTATTTCTGTGAGGGTGAGGAATGGACGTGTAAGGCATAACCCTAGCTATTATGATCAGTTAGAGTCCAGATCCTCCTCTCGGAAGCCTCTCAGCCCCGTGAGTGAAGTTGCATGGGTGATTTGAAGCTGAAGGCCATTTCTGTGCAGTGTTGAGCTGCCTTTCAGTAGGAAAGGGAGCTGTGTGAACAGGAGGGCCTGTGTGCTACAGGTAGGGATCCGACTCCCAGGATTAAAAACTAGCTGGAGCAGGCAACCAACTACCCAGCGAGCCACAGGAGAAGAGGCAAATTCAGACTCAGCCTGCTAGGACTGAACGAAATCAGCATAACAGAGTATGAAGGACAGGAAAGTTACTGCCACGAGTAAGCTATGAATCTGGTTAACAAGCAAGAGAAATGGAAAGTTTTTAATGAGGAAATGAAACGTCCAGGGGTCTAGGAAGTCATCGTAACTGATGTAATAGCTTTCTCTAGCCTTAAAAGTTTGTAAATCTGCAAACTTATTTTCTGATTTTATTTGAAATCTTAATAATTAATTGCTTTAATATCACAGCTGTCTTGCATTCATATGCTTCTGGTCTGCCTGCCTCAGGAAATCTCACGGTTTTGCAATATCAAAAAAATTATGAACCAGTCGATAGGGGCTCTTAATAATGGATTATTTGTACAGGTGTGATAAGCACTCCCTTTGTGTGACAGTCAGACAGACTAACCTTAGCACTTTGCGCTGAGATTCTGATTCGTGATATTCTGAGTTGCTTTGTTTCTGACTTGCAGAACTCTTGAGTTCAAAAGTCAAGGTTGGCCATTGTCAAGGAACGTATTAACCCGTGCCTAGCTGTTTGTGTGGCCCCTTCAGTATTATGTCTGAGAGCTCTGACTCACATTCACTGAGCAGGCGGCCACAGTGGTTTAAGATGCAACTTTCCTTGTAGGGTTTAACCGCTTTCGCAGGGTGAGTTGGTTGACTGACCTGTGCCTGTATCTCAGTGACTTTAGAGCACCTGAAATGGTCTTTTGTCTCTGCCATGGAAAGAAGGAAGAACAGCGGAAGAACAGGACAGACAGCTGAAATAATACTATCTAAGACCACCATCTCAAGATTTGTCAGAGCTCGTCTATCAGATGCTAGTCTGATAGCAAGAACTGCTAGTACTTGTAGTGGCACAAGAAGCCGTTCTTAGCTTTTCTAGTTCTAGTTAGTTTTCTAGTTCTATGGTCAAGTGCTGCCCTCCACATACTAGGCCTTTTTCTGGTGATTGATACTGTTGGCAGCACATTTAAATAGAATTGGTGAGGCAACAGAAATAACCTCTTCCACAGCTAGATCTGAACCTATGGAGAGGTATGAATAGTGGGACAAAGTTCTGGAGTGTTTTGCCTCTGAGATCATATACATGTAAACATTTGGATTGAAACGTTAGTGATGTCACACTTGCCAGGTTCCTATTGTTGCCTATAAACATCTTTAATCCTGTGTCTCCCAAACTGGAATATTTTTTTTATACCATGATTTCATCTTTCAAATGTGCAAACTAATTAGATTTTCCATTAAGAAGCTGGAGAAAGCATAGAAACTATGATTCTGTTGGAAGACCAGACTAAACTAGAGAATTGCAACTGGTGCTGTTATGATAATGACTTTGCTGAAGAAAATACTTAAGTTGTGTTATTAAAACGTGCATTGAGATGCGCTAACCCTAGTGTGTGGAATCTGTAGTGGATGGAAAGGCAAAGCAGCATACGTTTATTGTAGTACATGCTAAATTCACTGAGAGGAAGCCTGAATTTCTCTCTAGATCTTACATCTTAACATTTCAGTATGCCTTAAAGGCAGATGGGCCTTCTCTAGATTTCCAAACAAGAGAATGAGAAGCAAAGAGATACTGACATTTCATCTTTTATTCTCATCTAGAGTGAGAATGATTGGGTTCTTATTAAGAGTTTATGTCAAGAATTTGAAGCCACGAGTTCCAGAATTTAAAGACAGGCTCTTTTTCTCCTGGAGTAGCTCAGTAGGTTGATTGTTTAATTCTGGCATGAAAGAAAAATGGTTTTGCTGGTCTGGAGGGAATTCTGAAATAGTGAAAAATTTTGATTAATTATGAAACATTTCCCTTCCCACAGAAACGCTGTTTTTCTATTGGAACTTTAGGACAGAGTGCTAGACTATGCTTTACGGTTGCTTAACCACAAGCCCTGGGAAAGCATAATGAAGGGAAGGATGTGTATGGAGTCCCTTTAAACTTTTATAAGTTTTAGTTTTGCTAAACCAGAAAATCACATCAACTTGTTGCTAATTGTTTGCTTGTTCTCTGCTACTTAATCATTGCAAATACCTTTGGAATAAAAAGAATTAACTAATTAAACTGAGCTCAGACAATAATTAGGGAATGTCTCTATCTTTTTTTTAGGCCTTCCTCGTTGCTTGACGAGCCAGGATGATGCTCTTGGCAATTCCGGTACCTTCAGAAATAGAGGTGTTATTGGGCTGAGCTCAGCAGAGCAGAGCTTAATCAGAATGAAAGAAACATATAAACTGCTGTAAGAACTGATTTTTGTTTGTTTGCTTTTACTTCCTGTTGCAAAGATTAGGTATCTTTTATCCATTCTATGAAATGTATAATGGCATGAAACAGGCAATAAAAAGTGTAACAAGTTCACAGAAGTCCTTCATGAGAACCATGTAGAGCTGTAAGTGTGGAGGGATGTGTTTGAAAACAGAGTAATGATTTGAATAGTTTGGTAACAAGGCGGTCCGTAACATCTCGTTATGCTGGCAACTGGAATTTCCTAGGTGTGTTGTGTTGTGGTTACCCAGTTATTGTTACTCAGCAGCCTGCTTTCTGTTAATTAACCTGCTTATTGTTAACCTGCCTATTGTTAGTAATCTACTTATTGTTAGTAAGTCCTACCTACTAGCAGCAGATTTTGAGCCGAGCAAATGCAAACATGCCTGGTTTTAGTCCTATTAACCTCAATAGATCCACTAGGGTCTGTGGTACCATTTGTGTGCACAAAATTAAATGTGGTCTTGTTTACAGTCTTAATTATCTGAAAAGAACAATGTTTCTTGCTTCGGAGAGAGGCCATAAACATCTGTATTCCCTGTACTGTACATCTGCAGGCACTTAGGCACGTGGGTGACTTTCTCCTATGGCTACTCCTAGGATACAGTACTCTGGGACATACTGAGCACCATAACTGGCCACCACTGAACAAGTGAAGTCCTGCTTGTCCATCTCATCTCCTAACCTCACCCCCTTCTCTTGGCTGGGCTGTTTTAGTGACTTAAGTCAACTCAGTGAAAAGTCGGAAAAACATGGATGAAAAGGAAGGGCGGGAGAGTAGAGAGGGGTGACTCCCTGTGTGGGCACAGGCAAACTGTTGTATTTGCTCAGCTGTCCATGGAAGGATTTAGCTCTGTGAGTAAACATGATGTGCTTCCTCTGAAGCATGCAGAGACGTCCTGTAAGACTAACATTGGATTTGGGGCTTTATTTGCCTGTGTTTGTGCACACTTAACACAATGGAAGCCTCTTAATGCTGTTGTTCCATAATAGGAAAGTAACATCTAAAACAGTACATCAGGTCCTACAGCTCTGTATCGGTGCAGAGTTTGCCTTACTCACGTGATCCCTGATTTCTCTGCTTTTTCATTCGTTTGACCGCTGGTCGGTCTTGGTGCACAGCAGGGAGGGGAAGTTTTCTGATACTATTGTCTTAGTTCTGATCTGGCATTCCTCAAATAACCTGCAATTTGTATTGAAGAAGGAAACGATTTTCAGTTCTGCTTTTTTTGCTACCCAAAACCAAGCGGTTAGCAAAAGATTATACAACCAGAGATGGAAGACTTACATTTCAATGAAGGTTCATGACATTTCAGTTCAAACTCAGTTGGGCAAACTTTTTTGCTTCCTGTCATTCTGGAAGCCTAAGGAGTCTAAATGAGATGATAAAATCACTTCAAAAAAGTAATTTTTTTTCAAAATGTCAAATTCTTCTGTTGTTCCCTGTGTTAGGAGAAGCTGTAACCCTATGTTTAATTCAGGCGTTTAATTCAGAAAGGTGATGATGTCACAATTTTTTCTTCAAAGGAAAAAAGAACGTAACCTCCTGCTTGATGTTATGCTAATCGTGTACACAAGAAGATGGTTTCTAGAAGAAGCGGTGCCGTATATACGAAGAACACTTGAGAAATGCAGGGTAAATTTGGAAGACAGAAACTGAAAGATGGAAACACCCCCTGAAGAAGGGATGTTATCTGGCCAAACCACAAGACATTGTGTCCACAGTAGTATCTCTTCTTGTTCCCACAGCAGGGTTGGAGTCCAGCTGGGCCGGAGTCCAGCTGGGTCTTGTGCTTTTGGAGTCTGGTGTCCAAAGCTGGATGCTTTGTTTTTGGAACAAGTGTTCAGGCAGCACTTGTATATGAGCTTTTTCTTTTGTTACTAACGTGCCTATCTGAAAATGATGCCCACTAGGTTGCATTGCACGCAGAAAAAGGCATGATGTCTAGAACTGCTGATTTCTTACATTAACACATCCAAATTAAGTATGTATATATCTACCATTTGTTAATATTTTAACATTTTAGGATGACATTTGGTGTAAGCAGAATGGGCACACAGGGCACAGCCTCTGGCTCTAATTCAAAATAATTTTTATTTCTCTGGCTGTGGCCCTTGCACTGCTAGGGCTTTACTTGGCAGTGGTACTCCTTTTCCCATAGTTTGCTACTGCTGAAAACATAACCTTTCTGATGACTCTGGTCATTAGTAAATGCAGCTGGCTTATTGCAGTCCAGATCCTATGACCTCATGACAACTGTCGGCCTGGGACTCATCAGATAGTGGAGCCCTCCCATAGCAACTGCACTGCCTGTGAACACTAAACTTCCAAAATCTGCATCCTTTTCCTGCAAACAATGTATGCGTGCAAGCTAGTGCCTTGCAGTCAAGGGATAATGCTGACCCTTCAGACTGCCTGTAGCATCAACCTGCTCCAGCACGGCGGACATGCTGAAGTTACAGTTTTATCTTAGCCTGAATCTGTGGCAGATGTGAGAGCAGATGCACAGAAGTAGATTTAGAATAGAATTTTTAAGTAAGGCTGTTGCTCATGTTCAATAATATGAGAATCATTTAGAAACCCAAAACAGGATTTATGGTGTTTGAAAATTCACAAGTACCTTTCTTCCAACCCTGCTGGAAATATTTTGCCTGGCACATCCTTAGATCACATTGTGTTTTTCATGATCACAGTTCGTGATCCAATTATCCTTTGTTCAACAAGTCATCTGGGTCTTTCTCCTTACAGTTTTAGATGATGAATTCCCATTTTTAAAAAATGTTATTCTTGCATAGTATTACACTTTGCAGGCTGTACTGTTAAATTATTATTTCAAAGTCATCTTTTTCTTCCCACATGGTGTATTTAATACTTTTTTGGATACGTCTCGTTTTCTTTGCAAATTTTTGGATCATGTTTCTACTTTTGTGCTTTGGCCATTAATTAACATATTGAAGTCAGAAGATTAAATAATCTGTGAGAAACTTGCCCATTAATCTCCCTCCTTCTAAATAGCTTCCCTGAAAGCGTAACTCATCATTCCTGTTCTAATGAGCTTCCCTTAAAATGCTTCTAACCAAACCATCTTTTGTGATTCAAATTACTTGTTTCTCCGTGTTAGTTGCATCCGGTAGGTTTCAGTTCTGACAGAAGAGTACTACATATTCTAGTCTCCTCTCCTTTGGTATTGCTCTGCATCTTGGTAATTTACCAAAGCCTTTCAAGTATATTTGGATTTTCATGTTGGGATTATTGCATTTTTTTTTTTTTCCTTCCTTAAATACAGTCACCTTCATTTCAGTGCCATCATCCTATTACCTTCTTGCTGCTTTGTCTATATTTTAAATCATCCTGCCGACCAAAAAGAAGGTCAAATAATTACTTTAGTTTTCAGGCCAGTCTACCCTTCATCTCATGGGAACATGGTGTCCACATGCTCTAACAATGGTGTTGAGTCTTCTTTGTTATATCACCTTTATCTATGTGTTCATTAATTCTGTCCCTTACTAAGGTAATACAGTAAAAACTCAGTGGTAAAGTCGATCTGAATTCTACATAAGTCCTCGACTCCTCACTCAAGACTCCTTTTTTTTTAAAAAAAAAAAAAAAAAAAAAAGGTATCCTCGTATTTGCTGCCTTCTATTCTTCTAGTACAAAGGTGGTTTTTTTTTTAGTAATGGTTATTACTCCCTACCTTTAAAGGTTCAGCAATTATATATTGTACTCTTTTAGAGCACCTGCTTGAGTGCTATCTGATCTTAATGCATTTGAAAACCCTTCAAATAATCTCTGTGAGAGAAAACAAAATCCAGAGCTCCTCTGCCTTCTTTCAAAAAAGCAGGTTCACTAAAGAGACAAATATCAATTATAGATGACTATGAATGCAATAACACACTGTCAGTACTCTCAACTTCTAAAGAGTTGTACAATCGCAAGCAAACTAAACATGAGGTTATATGGTGGGGTTATCTGGTATAACTAGAGATTGTAAATGGTGATTTTCAGTGTGGAGTAATGATTAATATTTTCCTGTATGATACATATACAAGGGATATTTTATTTAAATACAAAATTAAAAATTAAAACTAGTATTAATAATTCCACAGAATAACTAAAATATGATAAAAATAACTTCAAAAATAACTAAAAATATGATAAACTTCCAAGCATTGGTACACAATTCCTCAAAGTTAGGAGGAACATGAATAGTAACAGATTGAGTTGGTACTCTTGCATACAATGTGGAAGGAGATTTTAAAAAAAATCCTTTATTGTTATTCATTTCAGATGTCTTTGCAAACTTGCTAGTTTTAACATATACAGTGTTTTCTAGTATTCACTGAATGTGTTTTGAGTCCCTGCGCCATGTAATATTTTACCCTGTTCTCTACTAAGCTCAAAAGACTTGTTTGAAATCCTTAGCAGAGATCCCTTACTATGTAGATACCTTTTATTTTCTCTCCTAATATTCGATATGACATGGTTAGAAGGAAAGGGGCAAGAATAGGGCCAAAAAAGCCTCCGTGTGCACTTTTGGTTGTGTAGTAGCTGCAGTTCTGAGTAGCAAGTATGTGAGGAAAAGTAAAAGTCTTCCTTTCCATGCTTTCCATATATATGCAAAAAACTACAGTTGCTGGTTGTTTTTTATCCTGATGTAATAATTTCCTCTTTTTATAGTATGTTTACTGTCTCAGTAAAGAAATTTGAAGATTAATGTCAGTATTTGTCATTACATTATAAAGAATTATTTTACACGATGGTGGGAAGAGCTCTTCAAAACGAAATGGGGTTAAAAAACAATTTTGGAGCGGCATATAACATATCTTTTTTTCTTAAGATAAGTCCTACTGACGACTTCTACCTCACTCATTTCTAAGCATTAAAAAGTGCTTTGGAAGTTGAATTAAGGGATTCCTCTCGGAGTATTCTGGACATTTTATTTCTGTTCTATAGGGATAGCCCTTAGCAACTGAGATACTGATAATGTTTTAGCTAGACAAAATAGTCTAGTTGATCCAACAGCTTGCTTCTTGGAAAAGCAGCAATCCCTGTTCCTTTCTGGTGCTGGCACTCATCTGACCCATCACTTAGCGAATTTGTCTGATTTAAACAGGCAGAAGCTGAACCCCATGGATTGGAAGCGGAGGGAGGAAGTGAACAGATTAATTTGGTCATTTTTTCTGACTACACAAGAAGTTGTCCTCCTTGTGCCTGCTCTGCCAATAACGCTCAAGAGGTCTTACATGAGAAACTCCCCCTATCACTTTGCGGGCATAGTAGAAGATATTACAGGAACAGATCACACAGAAGTACTGAAATGTTTGAGATGTGGAGGCTAATTATTCCATCGACGTCTCATCTGGTTTTGCCAGCATACAGAAAGAGAGATGGACGTGTTAAAACCTACTAGTACCTACCACCTACTATCACAGTATGCAAGACATTTGCTGTTAATTTTATGAGCAGAGGTATATTAATGTCACAGCAGCCTAGAATAAAAAGTAAATGTAAAAGTAATCGAAGAAATTTCTTGATGGAAATGGAAAACTTGATCTTTCTTACTGGAAAATAGATGCAAGTTCTGTCCTGGAAAGTCTGTAGGTTAAGAGCTTTAAATGCGCAAAACTTTGTAGCAGAAACCCATGTTTTGCTTTAATCTATTTCACTGCCAGCAAGGAAATGTGCTTTTGAGCCCCAGCCTTCCTGTCTGCCTTCCTTTCAGCCACCTTCATCATCACTGGTTTTCTCTTCTGAATCATCATTTTCATACTCCTCATCGTCATATCTGAAGGCACCCTGAGCCTCAGGGTCAGACTGACCCTGTTCTTCTTGCTCACTGGCACGATCAGACTGAGAGCTGGCTCTTTCCCCTCGTCCTCCTCGTCCTCGTAGCAGGAGCCAAGCAGCAAGTCCGTCTTTGCTCCCTCCTCTTCCTCCTCCTCCTCTTCATGGCACTGGTTGGAGTCGGGGCTGGCACCAGCCTCCCCTGCGTGGCAAAGCTGATGAGCATGAAGGCTGGCTCTTGCCTCCTCCTCCTCACTGGAGTGGTCATCCTGGGTGGAGGCTCTGACCCCTTTTCTCTTCTGCTCCTCCTCCTTGCAAGACTGCTCAGATCCGGGACTGCTGTCTGCTGCTTCCTCAAAGGATTTCCTTTCTTTGACTTCATCTTTGCTGAGTCTGAAAAGATAATTTGTATGTGGGATTTTTTTTTTCAAGTAAGATTTTTTTTCCAGTAGGTTTTAAAGGAATACTACTTTCATGTAATCTAGGACAAATCCTAGTAGACTAGGCTGGGGTAAAACTGGGGGAGAAAAAGGGAAAGGGGGACACTAGAGTATTCTTTTATGCTAGAAAATAATTCTAACAGCATTGCCCATACATTTTGATTTTTTTCCATTTCTATTTCCTTCTATATCATAATGTCAAAAAATTGAAAGATATTTTCAAAAAAGGCATATTTTAGAAATTCAATAAAGGTAATGCAGAATGAAATGAGACTTACTAGCAAACTGCCAGAATTTTTGGTAAAACAAACAAATCAAAACTTTTTTTCTTCTTCATTTTTCTTTGAAGTGCATTACATTATATATCCAATGCTCTCCTCTGTTTTATCAAATAATATTTAATTCAGGAAAAATAAAAAATATAGTAATGCTAACATTAGTAATGCTAACTACGTATAGTCAGATAGCTATCTGGGAAATAATACAGATTTCCTCAAAAACCATTAAAAATAACTTTCTAATTATTAGGTATGCAATGGCAAAAAAAAAAAAAAAAGCCTTAGGGAATGTCTACCTTTCTTTAGCATTAGTGGAGGTTTTAAAATCTTCAGCGCTGGAGCGTTCTAGCAAGGTAGTTGTTTGCCCTTTCCTTGAAACAAAGTCTGTGCATATCCCAAGTTCTCTCAGTGTGTTAGAATAATGCTTCTCTGCAGCTATTCTTGCATTTTTCTGTAGGAAAAAAAGAATGGTTAACTGTTACCTAAATGCATTAAATGCCTGATTTTTGATACTTTTGTTTATTATATTAATGCTCTGTTTAATTAATTGCATTAACAAGTTGAGTGATTATTCAGGTTGAGTGATTGCAGGTAAGAATGGCAAAACAATACTCAAAAATTTTATACTGAATTTTCCTTCTTCTCTGTACTAGCTTACGTCCATTTTGCTTCCTGCCCCTACTGGCTAACAAAGAGCGATAGTCTTTACATTGCTATTAAGGGAGGAGGGGAAAGATGCAGATACATAAGAAACCAGATGCAGTCTTCCTGGGGCTCTCCCTTAACCTCTCTTCCTTCTTATCTCTGTCTGCCCTAACAGCGATATTGATCCACTCCTTTACATGACTATTGGAGAAATTACGCAATCTGCATCTAAAATGGAGGGTGCAAATTCTGTTCCTGCAAGTAAGATCTGAGTGAGGAGGACTTGTCCTCCAAGCTACATATCCTGCTCCCCTAAGCAGAGGCAGACCAGGAAACGCAAACTGACAGAAGAGACCAGAGAACCACATCTACAACTTGCTACTTCTCTCTAGTTTTGGCCTCCAATCAGTGACTACGCTATCAGCACAGTTGTACTGAAACAGAGAGGGGGGAAAAAGGAGAGTGTGTGTGCGCGTGTGTGTGAGTATGCATATGTATATATACATACATATACAAAGAGAATAGTGTATATATATGAACATAAACCTTTACAATAGGCACAAAGAATGCTCGAGTTCACCCATAACCTCTCTCCCAACTTGCACCTCTCATGTTTTTGCTGTAAATTTTTGTTGCATTTAGAGCTACTCGCGTGATAACTGAATTAGGCACAATGGGGTTTTCCCTTCAAGACAAAAGCATACAAAGAAAATTCTTTTTTTTGGTGTGCCAGCACTTGCAATGTTGGCCTGGCCTGTTAAAAGACTATAAATGATCAGCATGACTTTTCTGAACATCACTCTCGACAGTATTATTTATATGCTACAGGGCAAATCATTAATTAGCGTTCAGTTCCATTTGGGCTACAGAGACTTGTGCATGGTACTTTCCAGAACAACAAGTCTTTATGCTATTTAGGTACATTTTATTTGTAGGGTGAGGTATGAATTAGGAAAACACTATCGTTTAAGTAAGTGAAAAAAAGGTGCCAATAAAAGTAGTTCTAATTTCAGTAGATTTGTATTCTAATTTCAGTAGATTTGTATTTGTAGCTTTCACGCAAGCACAAAAAAAAAAATCTAAATTGGTACTCTTGGCCAGCTCTTACTCTGAGATTTTTTTATAAGAGTGCACTTATTTAGCAAAAAGATATGACAAATGATGTTCAAGTCTGTTTTATAAAAGTTGCTTACAACAAGAGAGAGCTATTGGAAAAATTAACAGACTTGGGTCCAATGGGGAAGATGACAAGATACAATGCCTTGCAACTCGGATTTAAAAACAAAGCAAAATTTATATTACAGCATTGACTATTAAAATACACTCAGTATTAAAAGAAAAGGAAAACAAAACTGCATCATAAGTAGAATAGTTGTTTTTTGGAGGAACAAAAGTCATGTTTACAAGAGCCATCTCAGTCCTCTGTGCAAGCAAGCCATGAATGCTTGGCCACAAATAACAGTAGCATTTATAGGGAGACAGGGCAACAGAGATTAAAATGCTCTCAAAAATGTTTTTCAAATATCTTCTAAAAATGTTTGGCTAGTACTACCCGTCTTAGGCATCATTTGAAGATTAAAATTAAGACGTAATACAAGACAACCTGAGTGGCTCTTTCCAAAAGCAATGGCCTTTGGTTTACTCGTTCTTCCATTTCTTGCAATTCTTGCAAATACTCTTGCATTCTCTGCTTCTCATAATTCCTAAGAGAAATACAGTGCATTACACTGATTATTACTTTATAATACAAGACATAATTTCCTACAACAGCTGAAAGTTTAATTGCTTGTGACAAACTAAATATTGTCCTACATAAAAATACATAAAGGATAAATTATTTTATGTTCGTTACAGAGTCTGAGATAAACTGTCTCATTTTCACAGCAATTGCTTGCCTAGAAGTACTGAACAAAACTCTCTCTGAACTATTCACTTTGCATCAGCAGAGAAAGGTCCTTGCTAATGAGGTTAAATAAGAGTCTTTCTCGGTTTGGATTTTTAATTGATACTGAGTTTTTCCTTACTTCACACTTGGACAGAAATTCCAGTCATTCTAAGCAAAACTGAAGTTCGAAAGGACTGCTAAAATTAATATCGTAAAGCAAAAAACGGTTCTTTAAGGTTGCACTTAAGGAGAAGAATCTGTTGCTCCTTGAACAGTTTAACCTGTTAGAGAGGTGGCCACATTCTGGATGATAGTACACGTTTTTTCCCCCCTATTTTTTGGCTCTTTAGGGATCAAATCAATATAGTGGGATGACTATACTGTTGATTCATCAACTTAAATCATACCTTAGCTCATAGCAAGCACTAGATAACCCAGGTAGCATGGGTTGTCGTCCTCCTGGGTGTGTGACAAGGACCCTGACTAGATAGCCTTCATTCAGACCCATTAAGGCTTTTGTCTTTACCATAGTACTGTAAAATTTTGAGCTACTTGCAATTCATTGCCTCTGTTGTCGGCCAGCTCATCTGATCGGGCTCCATGGAAATGCGTGGAGCCAGCTCAGGTTGCACCTAAGCAAATAAATCTGGAAGCTGGAGTGCTGGGAAATGAAGGAGAGGCCACATCAAGTGCTGCTGCGTGAAGCAGCACAGGACTCGCTGGCTAATTAGCTCAAGTGTTGCTTGAAAGCGGCTGTCCTGCTGGGCAGGCTCTAGAAGTAACTCAGCTGTGTTTACGCGGGTCTGCACCACAGTTAATAAATCTTAATGGTTCAAAGTTGCCTCTGCGCTGGTCAGCTCTAGCATTACTAAGTCAAAGGTATTTAAGGGTAAGTAGAAGTGTGTGGGGTTAAGTAGGGGACATTATACACCTCTGTCTCCTCCCACCTCTTTCACCTACCGTTTTCTGACTTTGCAATATTTGCAGAAATTGCAGTGCTTTGAGGCAGTTTTTCGCCATTTTGAAGGTGTGAACTTCATGGTGGCTATTTGCTCACTCTCAGAAGGCTTTCTACAAACCCAATTATCTGTTCAAAGAGCACTTATATTAATATACCTTATTACCCTGCCTATGCTGAAATAAGCGTTATCAAGCTACGCACGCATACCAGCCTTAATGCACCAGCATTAGGGAAGTAGTCTTGCTTTGAGGTAGCATAATTACCTGTGTAGGCAGTAATCAAGCACGAGTGTTTTACAATACTCATAGAAGTGGATTAAGCTAAATACCGTAAGGTTAAGTTTGCTACTGCATGAACTCAAATCAAACCTGCAAGCACACCCATTGTCTCTCTTAAATCTCCACCTTGCTACTGTAACTCAAATTCGTTTCTGCATCTGTCCTAGTCAGTAGATCATCTGCCCAAGGAGACCCTGTCCAGCCAGAAGCTCTTCCACTTACATTATAAAGCTCTTGCTGTTAACAGGACCTGCTGGCCATGTTGCAAAACCAATTGTGCTTGAGCGCTGGCTCAGGCAAAATAGTTACAAATGACGGCTCTGCTTGTCGGGCACCTCTGCCATTGCTGGTCTGCTCTCTAGGAGCCTGCATAAGCCCTGCATCTCCTAAGACTATTGCTGCTTCTTCCTTGTGCTTTGGCTTCAGCTGCCTCTAGGGGAGGTAGCAGGTATCCTAGTGCCCTCAAGGTACCCTGGCTAATCATGGACTACCACCACGGCCAAGGAAAACGCTTGTTGCAATGCTTGTTCTAGCACCCTCACTTACACTGCTTGGCCGCTACGCTTCATGCTTTTAGTGTGTGAGACTGCGTGTGCTTCATTTTTTATTTCTGGTCACAGTGGAGCAACACTGCTGGTGAATAACCATTATGAGGTTTGGTGGTGAAACAGTATGTAGTATTGTCTGGCAGAAGGTGCTGCAATATTTCAGCAAATTTGCTTATTATTTCAGCCAGAGTGTAAAAAAGTGTATTAGGAAAATGGTGGGTTTACACCTATTTTAACTATATTTACATTTAACTATTCCTATTTTAACTGCAAAGACAGAAGAGATCCATATAAAGCAAAAAAGAATGAGAAACCTTAGTGTTATCTTTAAACTTGCAGCCATAAAGACAGCCCTAGCCTCCAGCCTCTTTTTAGAAGGAAAGATCTCTATCCCCTCTACCCTAGACAGTATTCTAAGCACCTTCCTTAAAATGTAGTATGTTAACTTAAAAGTTGCCAGTCTAAGCTATGAATCTTATAATTAGGCATATCTCCTAATCAGTCGCCTTATACTGAGAAGGCATCCCTGGTATTGTTTTGCCCTGTTACTGGCATACCTGGTGCGCGCACTGTCATTCCTACCGCTCTGCCCAAGAGCCCTGCCCATGCCAGGAACAACAGAGGCAGAACTGTTGGTGCCCCTCACCTCCTCTATGAAACCATACCTTAGACAGAAGACAGTACTGCAGTGCAACCACACCCAAACAGTTTAAAACCCTCACTAAAGATTCATTCAGACAGGACTGTTTTTTTCCGGGATGAGTAAGAATGGGAAGCAGAAGTCCTAAGTCAGACATATACACAAGGTCAAGCAGCAGATCTGGACTTGGCTCCAGCTTCCTCAGACCTTGATCTATCTATTGATTGCTAGCCTACAGCACATTTTAAGAAGGCCCTGATGTTTTTTTCCTACGTACTGCTCTTCTCAAATCAGTTAAAAACATATGTTTTTATCTCTACGAAAGGTAACTTTGGATCCCATCCCTCTTGAGCACCAGCAGCATCCTGGTGTCACAGGCACCAGCTGTTCATATACATACTAAAGTTGTAATAACGTTACCGCTCTACTTTCTCCTCTTAAGTAGAAAACCATCAGGACAAAGAAGTGAAGAGTTCACTACATTAGAAATAGATGGATAGGACCAAAGTTGTACCACCATCTAACCATCTAGTAGTGCAAAGATGTTAGGTAATTAGGCTATCCTTTCTCCTTTTGATTTTTGTAAACTGATTTTCCTCTTTAGTTGATATGTCAATTTTGAAAACAGGGGAGTCTCTTCTTAGCTGACTTATAATTATATGGCAGATTAAAATCACTACAATGGGCAACAGTTTCCCAGTGGAAATACTAAATTTAGCCACACTTTTTCTTTTTTTTTTTTTTACTAGCTGCTTGTACAGTGCATAATTTATCAAATGTGTAATTATGTAAACTTGGACTATGCTATATTTTGCATTGTATGTTTAACATACAACTTACAGGGAGAGGTTCAGGATTTGGGGGAATGCAACAAAATACCTGAATGTTTTTAATTTGGATTTAGACATCTGAGCTAGGCTCTGATGTGGGTCATTGGCCTCAGCCCGGGTTGTTATAATGTTCTGCAGTTTTCTCGCTCTTTGTTTCTGCCTCGTTCTGTTCCTTTTTTGTTCTTCTTCCAATTTTCTCTTTTCCTCAAGTGAATTCCTGGGTGGAAAAATAAACTAAGGCTGAACTCATTTTACATCAAGAGCAAGACTTCAAAGGAAGTTTTGGCAAAGAAAAATCAAAAGAGAGAAGCAGAGTGAAAACACAGTTGGGATAAAAAGACAGAGGATACAAGCCATTTTAAAAGATGCAGGCATATACTGGGAAACAGCAGTCATCTGTCCATTTCCTATGGACGTGTTGAGAAAAATGCATTACTGCTTCTTTAGAAGTCATAAATGCTAGTTAAGTCCTTTATTAAATTATTAAGTCCTATAAAATAATTACGTCCTTATATTAGGTCCTCTATTTCTGCACAGAAGAATTAATTACTTATGTAGAAGTACAACAAAAATGTCTACTCTAAGTATTTACAAAATGCAGTACGTCACTGAAGTGGTCACCTTATGGCTTGTAGCCGTCTTTTTGTGGACTCCGTGATTTTTGGTGATTTAGATTCTCCAGATCCTGAGAGAAGTGAATTTGCACTTGAATGTCTCATTTGAGGTTTACGTCTTGGAGAGGCATATGGCCAGCGTGTTTCTTTCAACTTTTCTTCATCTTCTTGAATGTCCTTCAGAATCTTCCCTTTGTTTGAGGGAATATACGGAGTACGAAGATCAAAAGGTTCACAGACTGTAACGTGTTTCACTTGCTTTTGTTGCAGGAGCTGTTTCTGAAATTTTTGGTGTAGTATTTCAAAATTTGGAACGTTTGATTTGATCTTGGGTTTATGTTTTATTTCCTTTGGTTCAATGCACTTGTGTTTCTTCTTTTTATTCATGTCTTTAACAGCCAGTCTGTTGCTGGGTAGAGACGAATTACGTAGCAACTCCTCAGCTCGCATTTTGATCCTTATTTCTCTGTAGAGCTCTTCCTCCTTTAACTTGTCATTAACAGCTGGACTGTAAACGCACTTCGGAACTGGTTTTGCTTTGAACGGTTTTGTTTTCTTTTCGGGTGCAGAAAGGTCTTTTAATTGCATTTTCCTAATTTCATTCCTTTGCTTTTCTCTTTCGATGAATTTAAATGGCTTCTGAGAAGCCAAAAGCATAAGTTTGCTTCTCTCTTTCACACATTTCCTGCGTTCTTCGTTCTGTTCCGCGATTTCATGGTAGAGCGGAAGGAAGACGGATGCTGGCACTGGGTTGGCTCGGAACTTTTTCTGACACTCTGCCTCTTCCTCTAGTTGCTTCTTCAGTAAGTTATTTTCCATTTCAAGCTGTGACTTTGATTTGACATTCTGTTCTTTTTTCCTGGCTTCCCTAATAGTCATCTGGAAAGGCTTGGGCACAGTAACTTTTGGGGACCATGCCTTCTGCTTCTTCCTCATCATTCTGAATGCTGGTGAGCTTGGTAAGCTGTGTTTGGTGCGGGGGACATAGTCTTCCACAGAGAACCCGTCCCACATTTTTTCAATCTGCTGCTTAGCAAACGCTGATGATCCAGTTTCACTACCATTTTCTTCAAACACTAATTCACTTTCAGACCCATCAGATATACTTGAACCTAAAGGATCAGTTAAGTCAGACTCAGAAAAGGATCTGTGCAAATTGAGAGGCTGATATGAGCTCTTCTCCCAAGTTGACCTGTAAAAAAAATTGGTTTGAGTCGAGTCCAGCCAATATTGACACAAAGCCAGTGATTTCCACTTTCAGTGTCACGAAGATAAAATGGATAGAGTTGCTGGGGAAGAGGAGAGAGGCAAGGCAAAGGAAAAGAGAAGAACATGGGGCATTCACTCCAAATCATAGTTGTAAAGTAATTTAGATTAGGAATAAATCAGCATTTCTAAAGGAAAGGCACCATGCTTTACTAAACATGCTGCCCAGTCGCAGCTTCACACACACCCCTGTAAATCTCATAGTTCATTAGCAAGGTGAGTAAGCATTTTTAAATATTAAAGCTAGCTTTTTATGATTATCTACTTATTGGAAATGGTAACTTTCCAGCTTCAGAAAAAAATTGCCATACTTACTGATGTCTGCAAAGCACTTTAGAACCTTCAGACAGAAGGCACCACCAAACTGAAGATTATTATTAAACTTACCTATAACATATATTAGGAGCAGCATCTTTTTTGTCCAAAGATTGTGCTCCTTTTAGGTGTAGTTTATTCCGATACATACTTTCTAATTTCGCCATGGTCTCCAGGTGGGCGTTCTTCAGTTCTTCTAGCTTCAAGTAATATTCTTGATTTGAATTGCACATTTTGGAAAAGTCCATCCACTTGTCACAGTTCCCATTTACAGAGGTCTGCTCTTTGTCAGTATTTGAATCCAAATCAAAACCATCCTGGAAGAGATTTTTGTCAAGTTTTGTGAGTGTTAGAAGAAAGGGGACCGAGGTTCATAATATCACTTTATCTGATTAAGTCCAATGAATGGTACAGTAACATCAGAGATACATATGTACAGATTTGAATGCAACATTATATGGAATAGCCTTATTGTATAATAATTTATATACTAAGGGTTCTATCTAAAGCATGTTAAATTCTTAACAGTCTATCCCTGTAATCAGGATATTATATCAGGAAATAAGATCAAAAGGAGTTATTAAAAGTATAACTTGTTTAGCACTGTAATTTTTCCTTGGTGAATTTTTTCCCATGGTGAAACATGCAGCTTAAAAAACCCACATTTTTTAAACAAACTTCTCTGCCTCTCATTTTCATAAGTATTCTCATAATAAGTCATGTGGTATCTTTTGCATAAATGTTTCTATTATTATTTCACAGTGAATTGTGGAAATGGGAAGTATTTTGCATAACTTTCACTTTAAATAGTGTTTCCGCCAGCTTGCACTTTGGGGCAGGTAAGCACGTTCTTTAAACATAAAGCTTGAACAAGTCAGAGAAGTAAGTATTATTAAAAAAGGCTTCTTTTAAGTCATTTTTTGGGCACTATGTTTTAAGAAGTTACAGGGTTAATTTCTTCATCTAAACAATTAGGATAATACTGTTCCACACAGGTATTTTAATAGGCTTTTACATGCCAACCAAAAAAGCCTTGTTTATGTTTTGTCATGTTTTCGGTCCAAAAATCTCAAACTTGTTTTCTCCGTAACGCAGCGATCAAACATAAAGCGAATGCCATGATCAAATAAATGAATTTAAAAAGCTGTTAAAGCATGCCCGATGAAAGGCACCAGCTGAATCTTCCTGAAGCTGTTTCTTTTGACACTGTGTATGCCTCTCTCATTTCAGTTCTTCATCCACGGAAAGACCCCGTCTTTTCCCTCAAGGCAGGCACCCCGCTTCTTCAATCCGCTCTTGGATCCCTTCGGCCCGACGAGCTCATTAAGAGCTCTGCGCCGGCCCCGGCAGCGCAGCACGGCCATCTGTTCCGCGTGCTAAATCAGGCAGATCTCGTCCCCTGCGTCTGCTCTTCCGCCACGTCACTGGTAAGGTCTTCAAAAACGGGAGCTTCCCAGGCTATTTTTACCCCGAGAGCAGCAGCAGCAACGTCGCAGCCAGGCCCCGGGGCGGCGGCGCTCCCCGCTGCC